GCCTGAGTACATACAATTATTCACACACATAACATGCAAACACAGACATATATTCACATTGGTCTTCACACATATCTTCACACACACACACTCACGTCCTCATGCCCACATACACACTCATACACTCACACACACATTGACACTCACATGCTCTCACACCCGTACACACTCAAACCCACGTACACACTCACTCTACTAGCTCAGACAACCATTTTCCATGCATTTCACCACCTTGTTTTCCCTGACGCCATTTACAGAAGGCACACTTGTTCCTTATGGTCACAGGTATGTTGTCCAGGTGACCTCACAAGCCAAGTCAGTCACAGAGGATCTAAGGTTCACCTGGATGGGGGAGGGGAGCCAACACTGATCTGGAATCTGAACTTGTGCCTTTCAAAGAGCCTCGGAGAAGCGAAGGGACACCCCGCCCATCCACACACACACACCCGTGTCCACTCCGTCACACTGCACTCCGCGCACACACCCAGTCCTCTAGCTTCAATGGCAAACCTTTCACTACATCATTGCGTTAATGCTTCCACGTTTTCATCTAAACCCACATTGTCACCTACTCGCTGCCTGAAGTCTTCACACACTGGCAGTAGTATTTCTTGGCTAACACTACAGTGGGAGTCCTGCTGTGGTGCCGCAGGATAAGCACTGGATCTCACGGTTGGTTTGAACCGCCAAGTCAGTGATTCACTCATCGGAAAACCTACACAGGGTCACTATGAGTCAGAGCTGACTCGACAGCACTATCATGGTGTGGAGTCCTGGTAGCACTCTGGGGCAGGCACTGGAATTGCTAACCTCCAGGTCAGCAGTTCAAGTCCACCAGTAGCTCCCTGGAAACCTACACAGGGTTTCTGAGAATCAGAATTGCCTACACGGCAATACGTTTGGTTTTGTTTCTTCACCGTATCAAGAAACCATGTCTCCGGCATTCCCTTCTGTTCCCAGACTTGGCAGCCATGCTGTAGAATGATGACGGAAATGCAGCATTTTAAATCCTTCACGGGTCAGCCTGCGCCCGAGGAAGGGCTTGGTCATTTCCAATAGTACCTTCTCTCTGGCAGGGTTTCCAGACCACCCACGTCTGCGTCAATGTCCCCCAGCCAACAGTGGGGGGAGCTCCTGAGAATTCAGTCCTGAATGAAACAGAGGGCATCCCCAAAGGACAAAGTCCACAAAGCAGTTGCAGCCCCCTCCCCCGCCAGCACCCACAACTGCTCCACGCTTACAGACACAAACGTGAAGCAGTTTATACACAGACAGACTCCTAATTCTTCTAGAAGATTCTATCTTGCAGATGGAGGACTATAAGAACACGCAGCACCCACTGCCAGTGAGTCCACTCTGACTCCCAGGAACTCTCCAGGACAGCGGAGAACTGCCCCATGGGATTGCTAAGGACATCATCTTTCCGCTGTGAACCTATGGCCCAGTTCTCCTGTCACGTGGGATACTGTCAGTTAGAACAGACACGACTGCCCCCCACAACAAGAGCAACAGCCTCGATCCAGCTCCCAGCACCCCCATGTGACAGACGAGAACTGGCCCATGGCTCTCCTAGGCTGCCATCTGTGTGGAGTAGATAATCAGACCTTTCTCACAGCAATGAAGCCCTGAGAGAGCTCACCTAAGGTCCACCGTTACTCAGAAATTGCTAAGTGGGACCTTAGTTCACATGTCAGCACCCCAGCTCCAGATCACTGCCCTCCCATGGAGGTTCCAACTCATGGAGATGCTATAGGACAAAGCAGAGCTGCCCCCACAGGGGTTCTGAGACTGTAAATATATGTGGGAGCAGACAGCCTTGTCTTCCTCCCAGAGCAGCTGGTGGGTTTGAACTGCTGGCCATTCGGGTAGCAGTGCTCCTCAGCTCAGAGCACTCACCTTTAATGAGAACCCATCATGAGAAAGGACAGCCTTCAAATGTACAATCCTCCTTCAAGAGTGGGCTAGGGTTGCCCATGGACCAAGACACAGTGTGCCCGCAAGAAGCTCTGTGTGCTTTTGACTGAGGACACTTGGTTTTCCAGGTATCTGCACGTTAGTGACCAACACCGAGAGTGTAGACGCAGGCCATCACACACGGACCCTGACCTGAAACTCTAAGAGACGGAAGGGAGACGACCCCAGTGAGGCATGCTTTTCGGGTTGCCAGCACAAACCCCTCCCAACTCCACTGCTGGAGAACGATGCTGCATTTTAAAAATATGCCTTAAACTAAACAGTCCCTATCACGGTGTGCTCTTGTTTTCTGAGAGTTGAGGATGATCATGATCCACGGTTCTTAGTCAAAAATGACCAAGCTTTAAAATGCAACCAGGTCTAGCTGTGAGGTGTCACCGGGTTCCCAAAGCAACAGCAGCTGAAGGATGAGAGTCCTGGGGACCCTTCATGGTGGAGGAGCTCCCACGCCCACCGGCAGCAGCACACAGTCCCCACAGAGCTGAGCAAAAGAGCAAGGAGGAGACGCAGGAAGGGGAGGATGAAACTTCCTTTGCTACGAGACCAGAAGAACTAGATGGTGCCCAGCCACCATGACTTAAAGTTTGGATCAAGGACTCAGTAGTTAGGTCTTGAGCCAAAGAAGGTAAAACTGTGGAAAAGAACTTCAAATTCTTCTTGCAAATCAAAGTTACTAGACAAGTTGAGACCGGCGATACCCCCAAATCTATTGCCTACAAACAAATTTTAAGCTTTGAAGAGAAACGGTCCTCTGGCGTGGTATTTACATTCAACAAGTGCTGAGCTAGCTCGTTTAAGAAAGACGGACACGAGTGCTGTGCTCTTTCCAAGAATTCTCTCTACAAAATGAAACGGATAAGCAAACCAGCCAGCCAACCAACCAACGCCCAGGCTGGCAAGTGACTTCTGACTCACAGCAACCTTATAGGGCACAGGAGAACTGTTCCTGGAGGTTCCTCAGGGTGTCAGTCTTTACTGAAAGCAGACCTTTCTCTCCAGGAGAGACTGGAAGGTTTGAACCACTGACCTTGCAGCTAGCAACACATCAACAACCCATTGTCCCACCAACTGTGACTCAAGCACAGAGGAGCTTTCAAGGACAGGGAGCCAGAGTTAATGGTGGTGAAATACGGGTAGAGATGGTCCGTGTGAGAATGTGAGAATGTCACCCTGACAGTGAGTGTACACAGAAACTTCTGGAAAGGGTTCAGGGTGCATATTTTCACACGCAGAAAAATACAGAAGAAGGGACCTGGGGCGGGAGTAAGAGGTGGTTGCACCCACCAACCAGGGCCAGTGGGGTGTGTCAGAACCTCCCAAAGGGGGTTAGGGTACAGGAAGGCGTTCCCTGGGGGGAGGGACGCCCCTGGGAGTGTGGGGCATGCCTGGGGTGGGTGTGCGGAGGGGCACAGTCTTACCTCGATGCTCCAGGGTGGGGCCGTTGGAGCCCCAACTCTGGTAGAGGTTAACAAGGTCCTTTGGAATGTAGGTCTTGAATATGCTGAGGATGTCCCGGCGCTTCTCTGAGCCCTCAGCGGGGGACTCCTGTGTGCCGGAGCGGAGCTCTGGGGGCACACCAGTCGAGGGCTGCGCCTGTATGGCCGGGCTGCCCCTGGCCACCGAAGCACCGCCCATCGTCCTGGGCTCGGGGGCGACCTTGCAGGGGGGCTCACGGGGAGGTAGAGCTGGGGGCCCATCGCCTTTCCCGGGAGGCTGGCACGGTGGCGGGGGGCTGAATTTGGCTTTCTCGGAGTCCGGGGCACTGTGCTTGGGTGGGGGACCCGGGCTGGACCTCGTGGAGGATGGCCCCAGCTTATCAACCAGCTTGCTGGGGGTGGGGGGACCGGCACGGGCAATGACTGAGGCCGCCGCGGTGGGCTGGGCGGTGGGCTCCAGCCTGGGCCTGGGCGGGGCCGAGGGGCTGCTGTGCACAGGGGCGAGGCCAGACCTGACCTGGGGAGGCGCGTCAGCGCCCGGCGCCCAGGGCTCACAGGATGCACCCTCCTTGGCCCGGGAAGGCCCACTGGCCTTGCTGGTGACGCCCTGAAGGGGAGAGGCGCCCCGAGGGCCAGGCCCCGCACCCGGCACTTGGGTGCGGGCAAAGCGGGTGACGGGCAGCGGCTGGCACTCCTTACCGCCCAGTGCGGGCGGGGGCCCGGTGCGGCCATTGCGCGCCAGGAACACCAGGTGGTTCTTGACGCTCTTGTAGCCGTTGGGTTGCACCCAGGGAGGCGCCACAGCGCTGCCGCTGACGCGGTGCCAAATGCGCTTGTGCACCCACAGGACTTCGGGGTAGTAGGTGCGGTGGCTGCAGTAGGGGCAGGGGTGCACGGGCAGGGCCGCCTGTAGTGCGCCCCCTGCTCCCCGGGACGACCGCGCGCTCAGGTCCAGCGGCCCGGCTCCCGGAGGATCGCCGCCCCGCGTATCCGATGAGGGTGTCTCCTGTGGGGGGCGCAGGGTGTCAGCATCAGCAGTACCCTCGGACTTGGGGTGACAGACTGGCATCTTCAGGCCCAGGGAGAGTCGGCGCGGCTCGGGTCTTCTGGGCGCGTCTCTGCTGTTTTCAAGTATGTTGTCCGGGGTTGGGACCCCTGTCTCGGTTGCACCGGGACCCTTTCCTGTCACGTTTTCCCCGCATGCGCGGCTCTGACCTCCACCAACCAGAGCAGCTGGAGCTGCTTCCACTGGGGAGCCGCAACGGTAAGGCTCTGCCCCTGGAAAACAAGGGAGAACAGACATTATCACCTCGGGGGGGAGGGGGGAACACCAGACAGGGAAAATACAGGGGCAGGCCACAGTGTCAGAGTACAACTGCTCTCCATAGGCTTACAAGGGCTGAGTTTCCAGAAAAAAGATCGCCAGGACTTTCTTCCGAGGTACCTCTGGAACAGCCCATCTTTCTGGTCAGTAGCCAAGTGTGTTAAAAATTTGCACTTAAGTTACAAGAAACCAAAACCTACTGTCCTTGCAATGATTCCAACTGCTAGCAGTTCTCTAGGGCATGCTTCCAGGAGCAGGCTGCTACCTTTCTCCTGCCGAGCAGCTGGTGAGTTTGGACAGGTGACTTGCACTTAGCAGTCCAGCAGCTAACCTGCTGCATCACTAGGGCTCCTTACTAGCGAGGAGCCCACCTCAAAGGCAGCTGTGTCGTGTCAGCGGACAGGGTGTATTTTGTCTTCCAGAAAAGAATGTAGTTCTTGTGTTTGCTTTGCTCTTCATTCACCCCCATTAACACCAAACAAAACTTTAGGTGCCCTACGAGGACATCTGGGGCAGGGGGAGCTGTTATTTCTATTGAACAAACAGTACACATAAATGTGATACTGGCATGTGCGAATACCGCTCTTATTAGAAGCCAAGAGAGGAACTGTATTCTTTGAAATAATATAAGATTTGCACGATTTTCAAAGAGTTTTCGAATGTGTGACTTCGTCTTTGAGACACAGTATCTCCCTGGTACCCTGTGAGAAACTCAGAGGGTACACAGTAATGACTGGGCAGAGGTGAGATGAGAAAACAGTTTCTCCATCCAACGCACACCACCCCTCCTGCCCCTGAAATGGCCAGTCTCCAGCACCAGCTTCATCATGGTTCAGTCTACTTTCTTAGAGTCTACAGCTGACCTTCAGAAACCTCCTCGGCCCCGTGAGAGCAGGAAGCAACAGGTACTTCATTCCCGCACCTATGTGTGTGTGGATAGGCTGACTGTTCCCACCGTGGAAGAGCATGTCGCAGGCTGGATGAGACGCTCCGGAGCCTCAGGCCTCCCAGAGATGCAAACCCCCACATCATCCCAAGTCCAGGCCAATCGCACTAACCCACAGCTTTCCCAAGTCAGACCACAGGCTGAGTGTGGAGAGGAATTAGCCCAAGTTCTACCTCAGCGTGCAGACTTAGAGGATGTGTCCACCCAAAAATCTTTCAGAAAGTGCCCCGTGTGTTCATACATCACACCATTGGAGTGACAGGACACTAGCCCAACACCAACAGCGATTGGGTCTGCATCAGGCTGTGTAATGCCCCCTACAGTGGGGATGAAATGCTGGCGCCACCTCCTGGAGAAAGCCTGACCTGTCTTTACAGTCAGTTTACAGATTTCATCTTTCAGTGTGAACCCGAACGCTCTTAAAAAAAAAAAAAATTCTCTAAAATCCCAAATTGGCATTTGACCTAGCCTCGATGGCTTGATAATCAGAACTTGACTTAGAGGAAGATTTAAACACACACACACACATACACACACAACAATTTTTGATGAAACAAGTGTAAAATACTACAATTTGATGAACTTGACCTATACTTATGGATGTAGTAGCTCAAACTGCCAAGTGAGAGGGATGGAGTCTTCACATCAAATATCAATGCTATCCCCTCTGTATATAGCATAGATAGGGACAGGCAACTTGGACATTGGCTACTTAAAGTGAGAGGGCAATAAAGGCACAAAGTGACTGGCTTACAAGTTTCAAGAGGATGTTTAGTTTAAGAGGGTGTGTGGGAAGGTAGAGTCCCCACTGAATAGTTTTCATCTTGTCTAGATGCATCTGGTGAGAAGAGATGGGGATAAGATTCTTAGGATTCAATAGTGAGTAAATTTTATCATGACTAATTGCAACTGTCCTAAGTTGCAAAGTTGTAAAGGTAGAAGAAGTTTTGTAACACAAACAGGGGAGTAGTTAATCTTACAGTCCAGAAACAGAAGACCCCAGGACCATCAAAGGAGAAGAGCATGAGTAGAATGTGGGACCCTAACCAGAGAAGAAGTGACACCAGAGAGGGAGGCAGAAATGAGGACCTGGAGAGATAGAGCAGCTGAAGACACTAGACTCATGGAAAGAGAAGG